GCTCAGATATTCCGTATTGAGTGATACACAACCAATGACTTTTTAAAACCAACAGTGCTTCTTAAAGGAAAAGAAGATAGTCGTCCATTCAGGTTTACAATCGGAAGGAAGGGTTTGTAAGGAAGATGTTGGTGAAAAAACTAAAGGGAGTCCTGTGCTGGTAAATTCAGATCTGGATCTGAGGTCACTCTCCAGAGCACTGATGAGAGTTTGAATGTGGGGGTTCAGGTTGGTTTATTATGAAGGAGACGCCCTACAGGCTCCATAGGTAACGTTGAAATTGTACTTGTAGTTATATCATTCAGGGTCTGGCAACGTGGTGGAGACTTGCAGAAAGCAGCCTAAGGAAACAGAACTGTCAGCGTCTCCCTGTCTTCACCTTCTCTGTTCTCTGGGTGGCATCACATCAGTGGGGAAGTTTAAGCCCTTGTAATTCCTTTTCCCCGGCAGAGATGGAAGAGGTGTTTGCAAACAAGGAGAAGGTGCAGAAGGAGGTGAAGGCCGCCCTGACAGAGAGCGCCACCCTGAGCTGTGAGGTGGCCCAGGCCAAGACTGAAGTGAAATGGTACAAGGACGGGAAACTGATCACCTCCAGCAAGAAACTCAAAGTGGAGTCTGAGGGCAAATCCCGGCGTTTGGTTGTGGAGCAGGTGGAGAAGAAGGACGCTGGAGAGTACACCTGTGAGGCCTCAGGCCAGAAACTGACCTTCAAGGTTCTTGTCACTGGTAGGAGAGAGTATTTTCTTTCATCTTAGGGGCTGATTTTCTGCCATTGTTGATTGCAGCATTCTAGAGTAAGCTGAATTTCCTGGCTTGCTGGCACTTCAGCTCTGAGTCCAGAGGGCTTTTGGGAGATTTTCGGTTTTGCCACAATGTTGAGAATAAATTTTCGGAGTAAGCAGGTAAAATGGGAAGGCGCCTGAATCTTCTTAGTCATGGTGTTTTGCAGCAGCAGCATAACATTTTCCAGACGAGGTTGGGATTTTGAACGTCTCATGGCATCCATATGAGCCACCCTGTCTTTTCCCTAATGCCATTTTTGTTCTCCTAAGGGAATGTTCACTCCCTAGAGCAATCATGAGATGTTGAATGTGGTGATTTGGGTTGGTTGATTTAGAAAGGAGATGCCATACAAGCTCCATAGTTAAGGTTGAAATTTCAGGCAAAGTGGGTGAGACATATAGCTAATACTGCCTCAGGAAGCAGAGCTGTCAGTTTCTCCGCACCTTCACCTTTAATAGTCCCTGGATGACATTGTATCGGTGACAGAGTTTATCCTGTAATTCCTTTTCCCTCGGCAGAGCCCGAAGAAGTGTTTGCAAACAAGGCGAAGGTGCAGAAGGAGGTGAAGGCCGTCCTGACAGAGAGCGCCACCCTGAGCGTTGAGGTGGCCCAGGAAAAGTCTGAAGTGAAATGGTATAAGGACGGGAAACTGATCACCTCCAGCAAGAAATTCAGAGTGGACTGTGAGGGCAAATCCCGGCGTCTGGTCGTGAAGCAGCTTGAGAAGACGGACGCTGGAGAGTACACCTGTGAGGCCGCAGGCCAGAAACTGACCTTTAAAATTATCATCACAGGTGAGAGAAAGAGGTGTTTACATTGGTATTCTCTTTGTGACCTGCCATTTTGATTTTCACCTTCAAATATTTTGAGTTAATTTGAACGATATAATATTATTTGCTGTTTTATTCTGAAGACTTTAACTGAAGACAGATGGGGCCCAATCCCTAATTAGTGTAAATGAACAGTGCTGTCTTGACCTTAGTGTGGCGATGCTGGTTTATACCAGCTGAGGATCTGGTCTATTAGGGGGAATTTCAATGAGTGGAGTTATTTTGTGAACGGACACCGGGGTACAAACAAGGACTGCATTTGGAGGGGAGGCCCAAGTAATAACCATGGGGTGTGAATCCGCTTTCACTTATACTGAATTTACACCATTGTAACTCCACTGATTTCAAAGGAGTTACTCCTGATGTGCAGACGTATGTGAGAGAAAAATCAGACCCTCAGGCTTGGTCTACACTTACCCCCTAAGTCGAAGTAAGGTACGCAAATTCAGCTACGTGAATAACGTAGCTGAATTCGACATACCTTACTTCGAACTTACCGCAGTTCAGACGCGGTCCACACGCGGCAGGCAGGCTCCCCGTCGACTCCGCGGTACTCCTCTCGTTGAGCTGGAGTACCGCAGTCGACGGGGATCACTTCCTGGTTCGATTTATCGCGTCCAGACCAGACGCGATAAATCGAACTCGGAACTTCGATCCCCAGCCGCCGAACTAGCGCGGCAGTGTAGACCAGCCCTCATTTTATGAAAACATGAAATTTCATGTTCTTGAATTTTGAGATCATCCGACAATAGAGACATTGGCTGATTTGGAAGGGATAACTGCATGCCTAAGTAATAAGTGCAGTTATCACAATGGTGGCTAGGTGTGAGTCTAACTGATTCATGGCATTCAGAAATGCCGATGTGTGAGCAACAGTGCTGGCTGTGTTCTCAAGTTAGATGCACATTTGTTCAAGCCCCTTGTATCTATGTAACGTTCACCACGTCATTCGTTGTGTCGGTGATCAAACCTAAGACCTCCTCAGCTAAATGAATGAGCCTCTACTGTTCAGCTAAAAGGCACATCTGTCTTAGTCAAGGCTATAGCAGGCTAATCAATCCCTAGCTGGCCTAGCCACCACTAGAGGGGGACAAAGTGCCATTCTGAGCTGGCAGGGGTTACATATACAAGGCACTGTATTTCTTCTGGAGCCTTTCATTTCTTCTGGATGATGGAGCATCAGCAACCCCTGATTGGTGGAAGGAGAAGTGTTGCATCTGGGGCTTGAATTTAACGAAATGGGGCCCATTTCAAAATTGCATGAAATGTGACACAGCTCAGCTAATGAACTTTACATTGTGTTGGGAATATTTTGTGCAGCTCTAACGGTGCATTCAGTTTTTAAATCGCTTCTCCCCCTTGCAGAGCCTGAAGAGGTGTTTGCAAACCAGGAGAAGGTGCAGAAGGAGGTGAAGGCCGCCCTGACAGAAAGCGCCACCCTGAGCTGTGAGGTGACCCAGGCCAAGACTGAAGTGAAATGGTACAAGGACGGGAAACTGATCATCTCCAGCAAGAAATTCAAAGTGGAGTCTGAGGATAAATCCCGGCGTCTGGTCGTGGAGCAGGTGGAGAAGAAAGACGCTGGAGAGTACACCTGTGAGGCTGCAGGCCAGAAACTGACTTTCAAGGTTATTGTCACAGGTGAGAGAGACGCTTACTTTGATTTGTTATTTTATTGTCCACTCTTCCGGGAGCGTTTCTTTGTGAGTGATGGGATGTTAAATAAGCAATATATGATCCTCTAGCACTCAGCTACGGCAGTGTGCAACGAGGCCTTCTGGGTGGGGGTAACTTCAAGCTCATTTGTAGTCCCACTGCCTTCAATGCGATTGTGCCTCTGCTTTAAAGTTATGCATGTCCTAGAATATCAGGTCCTGCAGTAGCTTGCTGAATGGTGGTCTTGGTGAAATACAAATTCTATGAGATTTGGCGTTTGGGTTCAGATGAACATCCACGTAGCTCAGAAGCTCCTCTGAACGTAAGAGGATTTATTTGAGTCTCTTTCTGCTATTTAGTCATGTTAAAATCTCACAAAAACAGGCTCTCTCACAACACTTCTGGTGCTTCCTGCTTTTGGCAAGGTCAGCAGTACAGTGAGAATAGGCCATCTCATTGCGCTCTGGTAATTTTCGATCTATTTGCTGTCTGAACCAGAAAGTGAAAAGTTGCCTGTGGTTTTTTTTCTTTAAATAACAAAAAGTGGACAGAAAAGGTTGTGTTGGTGTTTGGGGCAAAGTTTCTGTTCCTTTTTTATTTCTCTGAATTGATTTAACGAGCACTATATTCTGCCACCATAGTTCCCAAACTTGCCAAACATTTTCTGTGCATTGTAGGGGCTTATTGGATCTTATCCTCACTTCTTGTATCATACCTGTATTCTAGCTTGTAAGTGACTGGAATTGTCCTGGGAGTAGGTCAGGGCCAAATTTGGGTCATCATCTTGTGTTTATGGCATTCCACTCTTTTGCCATGAAAATGATGGTAATGATTGTAACATCGTTTCAGCCTTCTGACTTGGCTGCAGGGTTAAGTGGGAGGTGCAGGTGGAGGGTGTGAGATCACAGGTCACTTTTTTGTCTTTGCAGACAAATGAGCATACCCATAGGTGTGACACAAAGAGCCTTGTGGCTCTTCTTTCTTGCAGAGGGTCCAGAACACGTCAGCCATCCTTTACCCGCACTGGAAAATCACTCTGTGCCTAACCTTTCAGGCCAGATGCTTATCAAACGCACAGTGAACTTAGAGGGCTCTAATTCCAAGGAGAAGCACTTGTCATTTTGATTTGCAGCTGCCGTGGGAAGCTCCTCATGCATCACATATGACAGGATTATATTCCATCCATTCTAGGAGCTATGGAAAGAACCATCTAAATAATTGACAGGCCTGGCCTCACAATGGTGAACAGCACTGGATATCACCATGGCCCAAGCTCTGCGAAACTAGGTGGTTTCACATAACAGGCATTTCTGTGAATATTTCTCATGGTGTCAGTCTGGATGGGTCTGCCTCATCCCTTTTCCACCTGTGTTTTGCCTTGAGCTTTGGGTTTGAAGCAACTCAATATTTAAAAGTGCAGCTTGCTTAAACCCACCATATTTCGCTTGATTTCCCACTGAAAACATAAAACCATGTGAATTTGGGTGCAAAGCTACAAAGCAGCCCAGGCTTATCCAAAACTGCGTCCAGCGTTGCTGAAAAGTTTTGTAAATCTCAGCGAACCTTTAGATGAATCTGGACAGAATTTCAAGGTTATCACAAAACCTGAAGCTTGAGTTCTGGTCCAAGGACCATTAAAGTCCATAGAAAAAATCCCATTAACTTCAGTGGACTTTGGATCAGGTTCAGGCATGTGGTTTGAGATTTCCTTATGATCTTTTTACAGAGCTGTGATGGCAGGTCTATTGCAATTGCCAGACTGGATCAGAGCAATGGTCCATCTAGTCCAGTATCTGGTCTTCTGCAGTGGCTAGTTCTCCCCCAAGCAGCTTTGGCTAAGGGTAGGTTCTGTCATTTAAAAGATCCAAGGTCAGAGTTCTGTCCAGCTTTTCTATTAAATAAGCCATTAGAAGTTAGTTCAGTAAAAGATATTACCTCTCCTATCTTGTCTCTAACATTAAAATGGTCAAACCTAGATTTATTTTAAAACAGCCTCAGTCATTAATGCGGAATCTGAAACCCTCTGACTCAAAAGGAAGGTTTGTTTCTTGACTATCCCCTCTCCTCCTGTTTGCAGAGGCAGAAGATGTGTTTACAAACAAAGAGAAGGTGCAGAAGGAGGTGAAGGCCGTCCTAACAGAGAGTGCCACCCTGAGCTGTGAGGTGGCCCAGGCCAAGACTGAAGTGAAATGGTACAAGGATGGGAAATCGATCACTTCCAGCAAGAAACTCAAAGTAGAGTCTGAGGGCAAATCCCGAAGGCTGGCCGTGGAGCAGGTGGAGAAGAAAGATGCTGGAGAGTACACCTGTGAGGCCGCAGGCCAGAAACTGACCTTCAAAGTTATCATCACAGGTGAGAGACTGATTTCTCTCTCATTTTCCATATTGGAAAACTGAAGCACAGAAAAGTTAAGTGACCTGCCTAAGGTTGTGCAGGGAGCCAGTGACAAAGCCAGTTTGGCTTATGAAAAATTTAAACCAACCCACGAACCAACTGAAAAGTTCAGGAGTTTATGCATTAAACTGGTCCTTGATTCTGGCCTGGCATAATTCTGGAAAAGTAACAGAGGTGGGTGGTTTATTTTTCTTTTTAATTAGAGAACACCGGTGAAATTTTGGAAAGTTTAAGCATGAATCCCAGAATGTGGACTCTTTTTTTTTTTTTTCTAGATCCACCTTTATTTTGGATTGCAAGATAAAATGCATCTCTTCTCTTGTTTATATGATTTAATGTGTATTTTCTTGCAGAACAATCATCCAACTGATGATATTCAGTGAAGTTCTGATGGACAAATGTTAACAAATACATTAGTTTCTTCCATTGCAGATTTCAGAAAATCATGGTAATTAGAGATGGAAAAACCCTTGTAGGTCACCAAGCCCATTCTCCACTGCTAGTGAAGGATTGTTCCTCCTAACACTTGTTGGTGTGGTCTAGTTTAAATGACTCAGGAGATGGGCACTCAAGAAATATGAATTGGGAAAAATCTTTGTAAACCTGCCTTCTGGTAATGAAGATCAAAGTTGGGGGAGTTAACTTTTTAAATTGTTTCCCCCAATCTCAGAACCTGAAGTTGTGTTTGCAAACAAGGAGAAGGTGCAGAAGGAGATGAAGGCTGTCCTGACGGAGAGCACCACACTGAGCTGTGAGGTGGCGCAGGCCGAGACTGAAGTGAGGTGGCACAAGGACGGGAAACTGATCACCTCCAGCAAGAAATTCAAAGTGGAGTCTGAGGGCAAATCCCGACGACTGGTCGTGGAACAGGTGGAGAAGAAGGACGCTGGAGAGTACACCTGTGAGGCCGCAGGCCAGAAACTGACCTTCAAGGTTATCGTCACAGGTGGGAGAAACTCTTTTTTAATTTCTGTTAGGAGACTAAAGTAATTTTATTTTTTAAGAATATTGTCCACTGTTTTAGGAGCAAATTATGGGCCAGAGAGTGGCTGCTGTTGCTTTGGTGTAGAAGTTGGGGGGGGACTTTTAAGAAAATATATATACGCCTCTAGCTCGATATAACGCTGTCCTCGGGAGCCAAAAAATCTTACCGTGTTATAGGTGAAACCGCGTTATATCGAACTTGCTTTGATCCACCGGAGTGCGCAGCCCCGCCCCCCCGGATCACTGCTTTACCGCGTTATATCCGAATTCGTGTTATATCGGGTTGCGTTATATTGAGGTAGAGGTGTATTTGTAATGGATTGCAGGATCTTTAAGGCAGGGAGAGCCTCTTCTCAGAATGTTTGGAAAATGCCCAGTATATTGTGACCCCTTCCTGAATATACATGAATAATAATAGTGCCGCAATCCCTTTCCCTCCCGTAAGTCCATTGATGCAGCCAGAATGCCAGAGAGCCAGCAGATGACTGTTCACACCACTCTCAACCCCAGTGAAGTTGCAGAGGGGAGCCATGGTGGAGTGGCCATGTGGTGGTATCTGCACTTCCTTGCCCCTCATGGACGGGCACTCTCCAGGTCTGCCCAGGAGAGGCTGGTGGGGAAGGACATAACGGGGCTGGGGATCTGCCTTTCCATGAATGCAGTGGCCCTAATGCTCCATATGAGTGGCATGGAGGGGCAGAAGGTGAAGTGCGCTGATGTCTGGTGCCTGGGTTTCCGATTGGGAGAGTGGATTTTACCTTCCCAGCTCACCCACGCTCCTTTGCAGACAGTCTGATTACTCCAGCATTATGTGGGAGATGAGCATTTCATCCTGGGTGTAAGGCTACGTGTGTGTGAGGTGGGCAGGCTGGTGCAGTCTGATGGTCCTGGCTGGGAGGGGATGGTGTGTAGCCAGATGACCAGTAGCACTGCGAGAATGCATTCTGCACCCCGGTGCTGGGGAAGCAGCCTGTCTGTCTCTGTGCACTACAAGGATGACAGCTCTGGCATCTGCCTCTCAGATGGTGCAGCTCTGTGACACATCCCAGTGTAGCCAGGGCTGCAAAGCCACAATCCAGCCCTGAGTATAGAGGAGAGATGTCACCCATCTGATCTCCGTCCTCTAGCAATATACAAAAAGGTTTAATTATGATTTCAAACAATGTATTAAGCCCCTGTTACCCTCGGTGCTGTGCCTTAAGCAAATTCAGTAATTGAATCATAAATTCAGCTCGGTGGGCCACCAGGACCTTGTCCTAGCCGTAGGAAACAGCCTTCTCCCAAATCTGCAGAGACATTCAGGTGCAAGCAGCAGAGATTAAACAGTTGTTATTCAAGCAAACCAAACTGCACAGAGGGCGTGTGAGCCAATGGGTAGGGCACTGGATTTGGGGCTCAAGAGAGCTTGGTTCTATTCCTGACTCTGCTATTGACCTGCTGTGTGGCCTTGGTCCAGTCTTGTGTGTCTGTTTCCCCTGCTACCCTTTGCCTATTTAGCTTGCAAACTCTTTGGTGCAGGGACGGTCTCCTACTGTATGTTTGTGCTGCACCTAATGTGGTCCTGCCTCTAGGTGCTACTTTAATATTATTGCTGCTACTAACAACAAATATGAGAAATTCTGCAGTCACAGTGGGATTCTAGCTCATGTTGTCAGGAAGGGAATAGTGTAGTCAAGGCCCTGCTGCTAAAAACTGCGCTTGGCCTGATCCTTGGAATGACCAGTAAGGACTGCCCAGCTGATCTGATTTGCCTTGATGGGACCTAGAATGAAATCATACCATGGTGATAAGCAATGTGGCCACCTTCCTGGCATGCTAACCTAGACCCGTAACTGTTTTGTCATAGCTCCTGTGAAACAGTTACAAGAAAGTTTACCGCATAAGAAAACCTGAAAATGTTTTCTGTGGTGATCTGAGAACTTTAAATGCATGTTGTCAGATTGGAGACATGGATTTAATTGTTCCCCTTAGGTCCTGATACAAGTTTTGGCAGCTTTCAGGTTATAGATTCACTTACTTTGAAATGTTATCTTTTTTCAGAGCCAGAAATTGTATTTGCAAACCAGGAGAAGGTGCAGAAGGAGGTGAAGGCTGTGCTGACAGAGAGCGCCACCCTCTCCTGTGAAGTGGCCCAGGCCAAGACTGAAGTGAAATGGTACAAGGACGGGAAACTGATCACCTCCAGCAAGAAATTCAGAGTGGAGTCTGAGGGCAAATCCCGGCGTCTGGTCGTGGAGCAGGTGGAGAAGAAGGATGCTGGAGAGTACACCTGTGAGGCCGCAGGCCAGAAACTGACCTTCAAGTTTAATGTCACAGGTGGGAGAAAGACCCTCCTGAATTCCCAATGATACTGTCATGTCTGAAAACGGGCTAACAACAACAGTAACAAATGTGTGCAGTGAGACAGACCCTCAACTTGTATAAATTAGTGTCGTTCCACTGCAGGCTGGGAGCTAGGCTGATTTATGCTAGCTGAGGGTCTGCCCTAATGTTTTGCATATACCAAAATATCAGGGTGTATCAATATGTCATAAGAGTGCATCACATTATTAAATTGGAGATTTAATAATAAATAAAGTAATAAAAATGATATACTCCTTGCAGAACAGCATGAGACTTTTATAGACACACAGGGAGAAATAAATTAAGAAGCACAGACAAGGGGAATAAAGAGAACTGTTCAATTGAGATTTGAAAAGGGGCAGTGGGAGAGAGGCACAGTAGGGTTGTTCCAGCTGGCAAGAGCTGCCGAGGAGGTGGCTTTTGCATGAACAACGGTGAGATGGAAGTCAGTGGAGCCCTAGTGATAGTGGAGGAGCTGGTCCTAACTGGTGATGGGTGAACCAGTGTGGAAACTGGCCCAAACTGTCACTCAGAATTCAAACCGAATCTGGACCAAACTTTTTGAAGTTCAAAAATGTTGGACTTTAAAAAACAATCAGACAATTTTCTTGCTGCCCCTGCTTTTCCCGTAGTCAGATGTAAAGTACCTAATTATCACAATAGGGTCTTCTTCTAGCGCCTGACATTGGACAGCATCCCTGTTCAGGAAAGCCTGTAAGCATCTGCTTAACTTTAAGTTGCTTAAGTGCTTTCCTGGATTAGGCGTTGGCATTTCCAGCCTCAGAGGAAGCCAGAAGTAACAAAAACCTCTTCTTGCAAGATTCTCAGCCTGGCTTTGGAGACTGAAGAGGCTGGGATATGTTTTTTGGAGAAGCATCCACATTTTTGCGTGCTCATCCAAACTGATCTAAAGCTGTGAATTTTCAGAGGTCCTTTCATTGTAAGTTTTTGCTCCTGATCCAATGAGATGCTGCATGCCTCCTGCCATATGTTAAATGCCCTCTTCTCCTGAAAGTTGCCTGCAGTTTGCAAGATTGGACCTGATTCAGCAAGGTGCTTAACTTGGGTAACTTTAAGCATGTGAAGTCAAAGGGACTGCCAGCTGCTTCAAATTAAACATGTGTACACTTGTGTACCTTGCCGAACCAGGTCCTTAATTAGCAGAGTATTGTACTAGTAACAGTATTCTTTGGAAAGAGAAGTTCCTGCTGG